GAGCTTGAGACTCCCGAGTGGGGAGTTTACATATGAATAAGTCGTAATTGGTTTATGTACAAAATTCATCATTAATTTTGGTAGAAGTGTACATAAACCAATGAGAATTCCCAAAATCTTCTCAGAATTCTCATCTTGCTGTTAACACATGAAGCTGACCATGTGATTGTTAGGAGTTTATATACGAATTAGGATGAGGGTGTCAGAAACCAACGAGAATTTGTCAAAATTTTCTCTCAGAATTTTCATCTTGTCACCAACAGATGTTTGTGTTGACCATGTGCATATTTTATTACATCACCAACACCATAATGAAACACAATGATTATATATTCATGGTGAGTATCAACATTACTTGGTCTTCGCTGCGAAGGGGCGGAGCTCGCTGAGCTTCTTATCAAGAGTTCATCGGCCTGTTATTGGAATCATTTTGGAAATCGGGTGACTAAGTTGTATTACATGTAACATCTGATTTAAAAACATTTACTATGGAGCAGTGAAATATTATAATAATAAAATTGAATATTAACATATGATTATATATTGTATATGCTATCTATCATTGGTTATCATATGCTGGTCTATTGTTATTAATAAACTATCATATCGACTCCAATGGATTTGGATCGCCACTTACTCCAATAGGAAATGAGGAGAGCTGTTGAGTCTCCAAAACCAACTACACCTCAATAGACACTTTACGCAACTCATAGTTGAGCTTAGCAGTCAACATCACACTTCCAGAGTGCCTCCATCGTGTCGAGGGAAACGCTGTGAAAGTTCGGAATGGCCACAGCATGAGCCACCAATATTTTCCTCTTATACACTCCTAATAGTGTGAGTGGATAATCTCATGGTAGTAGTAACAACAACGCAATATTGTCCTTGATCGTTGATTGGTTCATATTAGCGTTGCATTAACAGTGTCTTGGTAGAGGTGTTATATAGCGTCTTATTCGGTGGGGTTAGCTGAGGAGAGTTTTAGGACATTTTTCCGTTAGAGCATGTGGGCTCGTTTATCCTCTAGAGATCGTATGAAGTTTCAATTTTTTAAACTATGTTATACCACACCCGCGTTACATCAGAAGATGGTCTACCCCGGTTGCAGCCTAGAGGATGGGAGAGTAAGATGGCCTTGTTACAGAGGCAGTTGGACTTCTTGGACCGAGGCATGCAGGATATGAAGCAAAAGGAGCGACGGAATTTTCGTACGGATATGTACTATAGTAGATATAGGCCTCTCTCAATGATGGGTAATCGAGAGGCTGTCGGTTCTATTCTTGCAAGTGACATCTTCTGGGATCGCAACGGTCCGAATAGGAATCCGCTATTAACCAGCCCAGCCGTCTCTGGGGCCTCTCGTGAGGATCTTAGTGCTGATTACAGAGTAATCAATCCGACTGAGCTACGGGAAAAACAAGAGCCGTCTAAGGCCGTTGTAGACGACAAGGCAGTGCAGGCTTTCGAGGGTCATATAACAGATCTAGGGAACCCAGTTGAAGAGAATCATGCTGATTATAGTGGAAGACCACCGATCGGCGAGTCGGAAAATGAATGGGAAATGGCTGCTAAAGCGTTCCGTCAATCTAGAGGTCTCGATGGGCAGATCACTTTCAGACCGGTTTCCATGACGACTCCACAGCGATCTCGAGAGGAGCATCGTACCGCTAGCGAGTTGCTAGCCTTTGAAGACTTACTGCGTCAAAAGCTGGAAAATGCTGATGAGAGTCTTCCCAATTTTGGACATAAATCTGTGGAGGAGAAAAAGTCTGATTTTGAGGAGGAAGCTGCGGCCTGTACTATGTTGAGGAAGAGCCGAGGCTTTAAGCCTTTGAAGGCTATACGGCTCTTTGGAGATGGGGGGAAGTTTTCATGTGTAGTGTTGGGTGATAGAGGCCGTAAGGAGGACTATGAGCTTCTTGTAAGTGGGTACTGCGGTAGTGCTGGCATGTTCGCTTTCCTCAGCTGACGAGCTCAATACTTTAGGAGCTTATATATTTATTAAGGAGAATATACCAGAAGTGTACAGAAACTTGAAAGAATTTTCCAAAATTTCCTCAGAATTTTCATATTGTTACCAACACATGTGGTTGACATTATGCATACTTTACTACACTGTACTGAGAAGGTGTGGTGATGTAGACGGTTGTGACAGGTCCGTTATATGGATGATACCACTGAGTGGGTGAAAAGCAGAGACTTGAAATTTACATGAATATTCGCTGCTGTCGAGAAGCTACTATTGTTGAGTTGACGTACAGTGGAGGATCATAGGGGGAATGGCCGGGCGTAAATGTTGGCATGGGATCTCATTTTAGTGTAGGGAAAATTTTCATATGGTCATTTATACATGTTGATGATAATACGGAAATTATGAGTCCTGGTTTGTTTCTGGACGCTTTGCTGTTTCGGTGCATATGAGGAAACGGCGATGAGATGTGTCGTTTGTGGTTGTTAGTGATAATAAGCCTTGAGGCGGTCCTCTATTGATAATACGACGACCAACTTTTTAATGAGCAAGTTGCAGGCAGCGACTGACAACAGCAACAGCAGTGAAGTAGTATCGAACCCCATGTCACTTTTGATATAATCACCGCTCCTCTTCCTCTTCCAGGGTGCAGAGGCTCCTGCTAGACTCCTGCAGCACCTAGTAGCGATGCCTGAGGCCTTCTCAAGCGTTCCGGCAGCGGCGGCAAGCCACTCCGACCGACCTGCTGCCCTCATGGAACATGCTGATGCTAATGATGATGATGATGATAAGGAGGCTATAGTTCTGTATAATATGGCATCCAAGCAGCTCGTGTCGAGGTAGTAGTGGCGTGGGGATGCTGGCCTGTATGCAGTGGGTGAAGCAGGTCCCTCCCTAATGGGTTCCCGGCAGCTGAGGAGGACGATGATGATGACGAGTTAGTCCCAAGGGACCACAGCTTCTCATCGTGTTCATCGCCTAATAACGGAGCTATGATGAGCAATATAGCCGGTCACTGTCCACTATGCAATCAACGTATAGCCCATAACCAGTCACAGTAGGAGGGGGTGTAGAGGATTAGAAGTGGTGATGGTGTGGTATCAATGAGAAATACGATGGTCTGTTGGGCGGCCTCGGCAAACTCATAGTTGACCACTGTCCAATCAACGTATAGCCCATAACTGATCACAGTATGAGGGGCTGTATACGACTAGAAGTGGTGATGGTGTGGTATTAGTGAGAAATACTATAGCCTGTTGGGGGGCCTCGGCAAACTCATAGCTGGCCACTGTGCAATCGACGTATAGCCCATAACTTACCACAGTATGAGGGGGTGTATACGACTAGAAGTGGTGGTGGTGTGGTATCAATGAGAAATACAATTGTCTGTTGGGGAGCCCAGGCGAATTGGAAGATACTTTTCGCTGACAGGTATGTTGTCCAGAACTACTTCAAAATGCTGCAATATCTCTACCGCGCCGTGAAGGCATCCCAACCAGCAGCTGATTATTCCTCCTCTGATGAGCCTGAGGACAGCACTATGGGAGAGGAAGAGGAACACCTACCGAGCAAACGCAATAGACGACATCGTCACATGACTATGGTAATACCCTCAGACCTCACATCTGCTGCTCTATAGCATGTCTAGATAGAATATGCTATCGACCTTGATTTTCATTGTGAGTATAAGAGCTATCAGTAGTGCTGTTGAATGCTCATATCGCACAGGGCCCATGAGAGCTCACATGATATTACAACAAAAAGTGACCTTGCCAGGGATCGAACCTCCGTCGGTGTTATATTCATCACCCCTGATGATGTCCAGCATGTTGTAGTGGCCTTTCAGGACTCTCGAGTATCGACGATGTCTGGGGAGGATGGAGTCCCATTACGACGTACCAGTAGCAGATTTGGTAGACCTAGTGGTGGTGGGGGCGGCGGCTCACCCTCGAATACGTCATCATCGTCCTCTGGCTCTAATAATCCATTCCTTCGAGCTGAGTCGGAGTTGAGGGACATCCCTGTGGGCATGCTCAACAATGGATATTATGAGAGATTCTTTAAGGTGGGAGAATCTTTAGGTTGCCCGTGCAAGATACGGAATAGGTCCTGTCGGGGTATATGATGATTTCTTTCAGGAATCGCCACAACGGCTCGGCTCAGGATCATTCGGAACAGTGTATCACTGCGAGCACGTCATAGACGGGGTAACAGGTCAAGGCTGCGTAGTCGTCCTTACTATCCCTCCAGGTGATGCTCGGCGACTATGCCGTTAAGAAGGTCCCAGTAGGGGACAATAGGATCTGGCTTAGGAAGATGGTTCGAGAGGTAGGAGCAGCTGCAGCAGCTGGCCTCAGCGTTAGCATACCGTTGGACTTGGGTTCGATATCGGGCTTGGACACGTGCAGAGCCAGTGCCTTGAGAATTTTTCTACTCGAAAATCGATTGCGGACAGGTTCTATGCAATATAGCTTTATATTCTAACTTCTAGGTCCTTCTCTAGTGTGAAAAGTCACCTCTGTGGTGTGAACTGTACCTTTGACTTTGTTTCTCCAGGTGAAGACTCTTGAGAGGATTGCGGCTCATCCCAACATAGTGTCGTATAAGCACAGCTGGTGAGTATATCGCCTCTATTATGGCGTATGTACTGTCTAGGTTGGAGCTCATCGTTCTAATGAATTCTGTCCCTACGTACCACACCTTTTCATACTCATGTCATCTGTGATGGTGGCTCTCTGGCGGACAGAATATTCGGGTACTTCCAACTCCACTGCGGTCTGTTCCCAAGATGCGTTTCAGGTCTCCTGGAGGCCAACCATTCCCCACAGTAGAGGCAATACGACGAAGGCGTCGTAGTTTACTCAAGTTGGAAAGTGGCCAGAGTCAGCAGCAAGAAGATGATGCCCCCTCAGCAGCAGCAGCAGTACCTGGGGAATACAGCGATCCGCGGAGATTATCCGATGGACAAATATGGCAGTGGTTCGTCGACATAGCTAGAGGCCTGCAGCATCTACATCACTTAGGTGGGTATAGGGAAAACGCCTTAGTGATGATGTTGTGTTTCATAGGAGTTCTTCATCGTGATATAAAGCCCACGAATATCCTGCTCACATCTGATCCGGATCGTATGGCGCGTATGGACGGTTCTCACTATGTTCTGGGCAGCGGCCAGAAAGGACTAAGAGCGATGGTCAGCGACTTTGGCACTGCTGAGCTCGCCGCTGGAGGGACGTCTGAGTCTCATACTGGCTTTACTGGTAAGGGAACCTCCTCTCACTGTGACGAGTTGTGATGACACTCATCGAAGGCACGGTGGAATTCACAGCTCCAGAGGTGCTTCGTGCGGCGTTCCTGAATCCTGATAAAGTTGTCTACGACGAGAGATGCGATATGTGGTCATTGGGAATAGTGCTTTATGCAATGTGCTATAACCAGGTATTGGGAAATGTATGTTCGCTTTCCTCGGCTGAGTCTGGGAGGTTCATCACGAATATACACATTCGAGTAGAATGCAGAAAAATCGATGAGAATCTCCTCAATTTTCCTCCAGAATTTCCATAAATGTCACCTACACATGTAGTTGACTATGTGCATAATTTCCCACGCTCTTTTCCCTACGTGGTATGTTCCCATTTTGTCGGGTTCGTATCTGTATCGCGGCTTGCTGAGGTCAGGTACCCATGTATGATAGCGACCCTCAGAAGTGTGCAGCCATAATAAGGGATTGTGTAAGTCTGGATGCTCTCAGAGAATCCTAACATCGGGCTTTGGCAGTCTTCATCACTGCGTTATTCAACTGACAGCTCTTCGTGCCTTATGTCTATCACTGTTCTCTCAGCATACGGCTCTAACAGGCCCACGGAACCACGCATCTAGAGGAGACCTGCCGATGATGATACAGGCCTTGACTCAGGTAGGCTCACCATTTACCACTACTAGCATGCTGGTTCAAGTGAATGCCTCATTCCCTACTAATATTTCCTTTTCAGCCCGACCCACGGCGTAGACCTAACTGTGACGATGTGCTTGGGCAACCTCTGGTGAAGGCCTTGGCTGAGCAAGTGGCCCATCTAGCGTTTAACTGAGCTGCTTAGTATTGTTATTGTTTATGCTGCGACTTGTGTTAATTTCGCGAATCCTGACTATATGCAACAGTAGAGTTTCCGACGATCATTACATTTGTCTGAAAATTGCATATTTTTCATAGTGATCAAAACTTCAGTCCTACTTCTTGCCGACTACGCTGTCGTTCAAGCTGTGGTCAAAAACATCTCTAATGTTGCGTTCACATGTAGGGATATCAAGCGATGGATTACAGACTCTACTCCATCTGCTGTACTCCTCAGTGATACTACTAGGTTTGTCGGCCAGCTTCCGTGTGTTGCGAGCATCGTTATGAACATGCAGGAGTAGTGAGACTCTGTTGATAGCTCTGACCATACAGCCATACAGTAGCCAATACGGGTGAAGTCCATCACTCGTAATGGATCCGTAGATTTTGACCATCTGTAAGTACAGTGTATAGATCATAGTAGCATTCATGGATCGCCGTATAACGTGTTGAAATTTATGGGCCGTCACATTTCACTGAGGAAATTGTCCGAATTCACACTGCTATTTTCAGACTGTATTATCTTCGCTCGATCTAGAATGGTTGACTGGGTTTTGTCAGTGCTTGTCGTTGATAGTTTTGTGTGAGCATGTCCACCGACGGAGGTCCTCGCAACCACGCCCAATCATCTGATGCTCTCCTCGGTGGTGGATCAGCTGCCGCTGACCGCCATAGGAACCCACCTGTAGCACTGTTGCGGACCTTCTCACAGATCATCGGTGGTCACGCTGGTGGACCCAGACCAATTAGTTCTGGCCACATGCCCGACCCCGCGGTGAGATCGACTTGGCATTCATCATTAACGCCTATCACTTGTGCTTCTCAGACACCAGGGACGTCCCCTGAAGGTTCATCGCTGTTGGGCCCTGAGCAGGGGTCTGACCCAAACCGGATGTCTCGGTAAGCGCTCGTCATACTATGGGTGTTGAAGTCAGTGCTTTGTCAGGCGAGAGAGGGAGCTCCTAGTCCGTGGTAACCTGGCAGAGGCTGTGGCAACCTCCTTCACATTGTTGGTCACAGTAGGCCTACCTCTACTCTTTATCATCGAGGCTGGATTGCTCACCATGTTAGGTGGCACTGTTTATCCTCGTTGTTGTATATGCCATGTACCTCTACCTCTGGGCCTGGGCCATCTGGATAGTCCTCACCAACGACCGGAAGGTAAGCCAACTATACAGGTTTGTCTTCGAGATATCATGTCGCCTTGGTTTCAGCTGGAATGTGACGTTCCTCTTCTCATGTGGCTAGAGGTCTATATGCTAGCCTCCTTATTCCGAGGAGTGTTCCAGCGAATGGTCGAGACTTTGTATTTACGACTAACATACGGCCAGGACTGGCAACTACACGGTGGGTTTGTATAGACTTCTATCCTCACTAACTGGACCCCTCTGTCTCAGCCAGTGAGCATCCAGTGAAGCTAGCCCTCTTGAAAAGCTTCCTGAACCTCTTTTTCCCGGCCTGGTTGATCTACGGTCAGACCCTGCTAGTGACCTCCCACACCTGTTCGGCGACCAACTCCTCACTGTAGGTCTCCCTTATGTACTCTCCTCTGCTCTCGCTGATTTGCCTTCACTCAGGTACACCTGTTCAGCTTGGTTCATAGGCGTTGGGCTGACCATATGGTGTGGTTTCGGCATTGTAGCTCTCTTTGGTGCCACCTTCTTACTCTGGATGGTAACAGATCATCATCATTGCCTCCCACATCTTCCCATGTTCAGGTCCGGACAGGTCGGCTGCGTGCCAAGAGAGGGGCCTCGCCTGACGTTATTGACAAGATCCCAACTGTTCAGTAAGTACACCTCTGGGCTAAGAAGCGGTATGTATTCTGTCAGATATGATTCGACGCTATTTGTAGACGACCAGAACTCGGCGGACGGCAGTCATCCTCTAAACGAGTGTTCGATATGCTTTCAGAACTACTCTGATTCCACTGACGAGATCAAGCGTGAGGAAAGGGAGCTTTGACCTTTCCCATCATGGACTTTATTCAGATACTCCTTGTGACCACTACTTCCACAAGAGCTGCCTGGCTCACTGGCTCAACACCGCTACTACGTGTCCGCTGTGTCGGTCCGACTTTGAAGAACACTATCATGGGCCTGCATCGGGTCCAGAGAATGTATAATTGCTAAGTCAGAGCAGTAGCAGCAACAACAACAACAGTTGATGATGATGTTACTGCTGTGGACCTGTTTATCCTCAACATTCATATTCTTTCTGAGGTAACCTCGGTCGGTTTTTATTGTCAATACATCATCATAGTACTCGTCAACTCTGGTGTCACTCTTGGCGCTCTCTTTGCTTGTGCCGCTTGGGGCTACTTTATCGAAGTTAATGGCAGGTTAGATTCCTTCGCTTAGAAAGATAGTCGCGAGACCAAAGGCTCCAACTAGTAATGTGTTGAACCTAGGACATTGATTCCCACTAAACGATTACTGCGGGTCTTCTCAAGACGAATTGGCCTTGGTGGAGCAAAAATCATCATCGATGAACTTGGTGCAAAGGAGAACCTCTTAGTGGTTCCCTTCGCAATTCGACAATGTCTTCGGGTGGTTTTCTCGAGAAGTTGTCCATACTCGTTGGAGTAGTCAAAGGAGCCGAAGTCGGCCAACTCTTCTTTTCTAGTAAATCATTCAAGGTTTGAACTTGAGCACACTCAGTGATCTTCCTTATGGACATCGATGCTCAATGCAGCACAGAACAGCATATTCCCTCAACTGCAGCTTAGGGCTATAGATTTCCGAGAGCATCTCCTACGGCTAAGGTCCACACGGGAAGCCCTTGAGGGCCGCGATAGTAGAGAGGCTAGGTCGATCAAGCGTCGAGTACAAGGAGGAGGACTGGAGGACGAGTGGGAGCGGCTCGAGAAATATCATCAAGTTGGACTAGCAAGCATCACTCAGCTTCCTCTTGCTCTCCGGTTCAATATCCAGCCGGTGGAGGCTCGACGCCCTCCGCCCTCAACTGATGATGATAGAGACCATCGTACCACTCAAAGGGCTTGTTCGAGTTCGTCGAGAAAGTTGATGGACGAGCCGAGAGCGCCGCCCTTTCTGCCAAAACGGTGGGGCCGTCCGATGACAGGAGCCGGTTGGAAATGGGATGAGACCAGCGATATCATTATAGACAC